GCTTACCAAAAGTAAGCAAAGGCCTTTCTAAACCTCAACATGGAACCGACCTGTAAAGACTAAGTGCCTCTGAAATCTCTGAAATTTTCCAACAAGAAAGTATAGGTCATTCAGCAAAATATATTTACTGTACACTACTATAATAGCTATTTAATTGTTATCATTATGATGCAGATATATAATGGAAACAGATGTTCCTTTTTCCTTTCAGCAAAGCACAGGAAAAGCATAAACTTGCTGATATTGCATGGACTACTACCATAGCACAAGAGAGGAAAAAAGACATTAGCACATGACAATATTAGTTTTTGCTACACAACTAATTGCATAAAAAGTACAACTTGAGATCATTAAATCAATATAATTTTCAGCACTACAGAAGGGAAACAAATAGATTTGTATAACCAGCCTATTTCACATCTGCAGTTGGGAAAATACTTCTGAGAGACTAAGTATATGCAAAATGCTACCACTGCTTTCAGAACACAAGGAAAAGTGTTGTTCTGTTTTCTTTGCTAATGTAACATGAATTAAAATACTGCCTCCACAGAGAACATTTTTTAAACAGCACCAGTATAAACTGGAAGAACCTTTCCAAAAATGATTTGGCAGCTCATATCAAGACTTTTAAAAAATAGCCTATACTCTCAATCCAAGTAGTTTCTTTACTAATAATACATTGTAACAAAATTAACCAGTGGGATGATAGTTTTATTTTAAATGCTATTCTTCATAATTTTATTTATAATCATGGAAAAGTAGAAATGTAACTAATAGTAGGCCAATGGTTACTTAAATCATGTTAAAACATACAGTAATATAAATGATTTTAATGACAATTTTAATTATATAAGAAAATTTTCATTGTATAACAACAACTGAAGAAAAGCAGGACAGTTTATGTCTATATCTATAGTATATATGTAAAATGTTTGGGGGGAAACTCTTAGAAAAACATACAAAATGTCATTTCTAACTTTTTCAAATTCTCTATTATGAGCAGATACTACCTTTTTAATCAGAAAATGATATATCTTTTTCTTTAAACAGTCAAACAATTCTATTTCCATGCTCTAATACTCTGTCCTTGTCCAAAGTTTCTAAAAATTCTTTGGGTCAAATATTCTTATAAATACTTATAGGTAAATGGACTTGAAGTTATGCTGACATGTTGTTCGATCCCAAAATCCGGCATAGAAAGAAAAGTATTTGTCAGTCACACAAACACTGCATTTTTTCCTGAATTAAACATTTTTTTTCCTCACAAATTAAGGAAAAGTTTTATGGGACAAACATTACAAATGCTTACTTAAGAGCCAGTAATATGATGTACTTTTAAGTCACAAAGTCAAGGAAATTTTTCAATTAAAAATAATTCTAAAGCATATTAAGTAGCCTATTAATCGCTCTCCCAAAATGCAAATAAAAAGTTTGCCATAAGCTTTTGTAGGATTCCTAGTTTCAGGATTCTATTTTTACAAGAAGGACCTGATTTGTCTTAGGCTATTACTGTCTATTACTTCTAGAAGTCTTGAGGAAAGGTGGGAAGCAGCAAATTCTGGCAATCTGCCTAAAGAGAAATCAATGAAACAAATTAATCCTTCGCAGGCTGCAATGACACAGTAATCCATCATTCAGAGCTGCTTTTATATACCAAATCAGAGAGCAGAGCAGAGAGCCCTGGGGGACATCACAGACAACAACTTACACCAACACTGGGAAAATACTGAGGAATCAGTTTATTTAAAGAGGATAGATTTCAGTTGATTGCCTATTTCATCAAATAAAGATTTTTTTTTCCTTCACGGTGTGATGAACCCAAGGCCTGATGACTATATCTTCAGAATTCAGTACCATATATGCTGGCTGACATCAATAAGGGATGGGTGTTTTAAAATAATTAGCATCATTAATCAGTATGAACAAATATCTGGATAGAGTAATATTACTTTTTCCATCAAATTTCTAGGTGTTAAACACATTCTCTGTTTGCAGTAGGGACTAACTGTAAATTCACCTACTAATCTATAACTTAACTGACCAATTCCTGGTAAACCACATTTGAGTTATAAGATATATACAACTTCCTAAGTATTGTGTTAAGTTTAAAGGCATGAAAACTTTAATTTCATTTCTTGCGGTATAAAGTCCAACAAGCCAACCAAATTATAATTAAATAACTTGCTTTATCACGATAAATAGCTCTCTGGCTTATACTAGAAAAGGAAAGATAAATATGGTTTCTTTTTAAAAATAAACTTATAAGCAATGTACAGCAATACATTTATACTAAGTGTGCTTATATATACACAAAAACATATGTATCTAAATTTATTTATGCCTATGGAGAAATTTACACACCTGAGTGTGTCATCTTAGAGCAATGTATTCTGAGTGAAGTATATTCCCTAGATGAAAACTAATGACAAAAACTATAAAGTCACAGTGTATTTCTATTGTTAAATGCATGCATCTTTTTCACAGTTAAATGAGAGAAGTGAATGAAAGAAAAGAATTTTCAAGAAATAAAACAGAAACAAATGTGTCACAATGGTCCCTGAAATGTTAAAACCCAGAATATCTAATCATGAATCAGGGGGAAAAAAAAGTTAAATAAATGCTAACTAGTCGATTTCTGAGTGGCATCTTTGATTCTGAGGTCCATGGCCATATGATTGCAATTCCTGGACCTGCTGATGCATTTTTAATTCAATGCATGGATCTAGTATTTATTGATTTAATAAGGTTAGAGGTATTACATTGTTGCTGCTACTGATGAACTGTCAGCAATTTAATCTAGTGAAATCTAAAAGAGGAATATATATTTTAGGGAAGGGAGTGGGTAGGGGAGGGGGAGGCAGTAGCTATGTAAATGTCATCCCTTCAATACCGATGATGGTGACAAGACCAAAGCCCCTTCTCTCTCACACTGAGAGCTCCACATATTTACTAACGATGTTGGCTACCAGCTAGCTGAGGTCACAATGAAGAGACTGCAACAAAGTCTTGCAGGTAAACCTTCAATATTAGGGAAATCAAGGACTTATCTCCCATTGCCACCCTCTAACCTCTCCTCAAAGGTTTTGAGGTGCCTGCAGGCACACACATGCACTCACTCCCCATGACCTGAGCCTTTACCTTCTCACCTCAGGGTTTAAAGGAGGCCTTCAGCAGTTTCTTTTTTGGCCCCTAACATTTTCCAGCGCATCATTAGCAGGCAGAAAAGAAAAGAGACAATTCACTTTCTCAAAAACAATTCTTCCAAAAATACAACCAAAACAGAGAGGCGTTACACGGTAGGTCAAAAGTGGAAATACTATAGGATACAGAATCAAGAGAGGAGGAGGAGGAAAAACCCCCAAAGTTGCTGAAACAGACACTGGAGAATATTAAAAAGCTTTTCGCACTGCTCCACTACCCTGCTTGTGGGTTTCTTTCCCCAACCTGGACACCTGGGAAGCGTGTTGTTCTCCAGCTTTTCCCAGACTTTGAAGAAATGGATAATCTAAGGAGCAGTGCTGCTGCTGGGGTCAGTAAAACTATGCTAATTGGTGAACCTAATTGCTTCAAGCAGTCCTGCCTCCAAACAGGGAGAGCACAGTTGATGGAGTCGGTCTGTTCCTAATAAAATGAAGAAGCACTGAATTAAATTCCCAAGGAAGGCACTATAAAAGTTTCCACAGTGTAACCAAATGACTTCACCTATGCTATTACCCCTAAGATGACATCTTTGAAAGAAAGCAGACCCCAGTCAGGCTCCATATTCATAAATTGGCTGAGTTTTAGGCCAGTGAATCTGGATTGATTTAAAAAGGCTTTTTCATCCTTCCAATCAAATGAAGTCATTGTTAATTAGATGCTTTCTGTTAACAATGTCACTCTTCTCCGCATTACCTGCTCACACTTGCAGCGCCTCTAGTGCAACATCTGGACTTTCCCTACCCCCCTCCAACCCGGCCCCCCAGCCGTCCTGGAAAGTTCGGCTCCAGGGTGGTGGCATTTCCGTTTCTCCATCCCTGTCCGAAGGAAGATCCTATTCAGTGTACCAGAGGCGAGATACACAGCAACTCTGTAGATTGAGAGATGATAAAACAATCTCTGGGAACGCTCCCCAGATACGGGGCTTCCAAAAAAATCATTTTTAATTAACTACGCAGCAGTTTCTCTGTGCTATTTCCCGCCTTGTGGGCGGATGTTTTCCACGCTGCCGAAGGCCACAACGTAAACTCCCAGTGACTGTCCAACTTGTTAAAATCAAGATCCCCCTTAGAAATTGGGGTTTGAGGTCTCCCCGACTTGCCCCCCAGGGCCTTGCTCCCTATCCCCTTCTCTCTACACCCAACACCTGAAGAGGACCTGCGGGCCGAGACGGGCAACCCGTGGGGCAGCCCAGGGCGCTCCGGGCCCAAGACAGGAGAGAACCGAGCCGCGCGGGGAGTTAGCCTCGCAGAAGGCGCCCCGCTCGACGGTGCGTCTCCCTCAGAACCTTACAAGGCTGGGCGGAGGCCGGCTTCTGCCTCCGGGTCCATTCCGGAAAGGCTGGTGGCACGGAACCGAGGGGGCACCCGCCAGAGCCCGACCGAGGGCGCGCGCCCGGGGTTCGGGGAGCGTGCGCCATCCCCCGGTCGGGCCTGGCTTCCTTCCTGAACCTTCGCCGCCGCGCGGGCCCGGGGCCTCGGTCGCTCTGGCCCGCCCGCGAGGTGTGGGGGCCCTTCGGCGCCCGCGAAGGCGCGGCTCCAGCGCTCGGAGGAGGGCCCGACGCGGCCCACCCCGGGCCCCTCGGCCGCGCGGGCTACCCCCGGCTCGCGTCGAGCGCCCGGCCGCCCCACCCCGCGAGCGGGCCTTTGTGCCCGGATGTGGGCCTCGCTTCCGGGAAGGCCTCTCCTCACCCCACCCCACCCCCCACCCCCGGCCCCGCTCTGAACCGAGAGCCGGGGCCTCGAGGGAAGGAACCCCGGCGAGGGGGGCGCTGAAGGGAAATGGGTGGGGAGGAATCCCAGGGGCCCCCCGAAGGGAAAATGAATGGGAAGAAATCCGAGGTGGGGGGCGAAGGGAAAATGGGTGGGGAGGAATCCCAGGGCCCCCCCCAAGGGAAAATGGGTGGGAAGGAATCGGGGGGGGGGGGGGCTGAAGGGAAATGGGTGCGCAGAGCGCAGAATTCGATCTGGGGACGCCCCTGTGGGAATGAGGAATGTAAGGAGATAGGGGCAGTGAGGGCCCTAGATGGCCGTGGGGATGGCGCGGGCTTCCAGCAGGGGCCTCCCTCTCCTGAGGCGGCGCTCGGCGTCGGCAGCGCCGAGGGCCACGCTTGATCCGAGGGCCTCGGCGGACGAAGGGGCCGCCACCAACACTTTAGAAACCCCGGCGGGTCCCCGAAGGCCTCTCGGGGACCCGCCGCCAGGTCACTCACTTCACCCCGGTGCAAGGAGGTCCTGAGCGGGAGTCGCCTACCTACCGGGACGCAGACCTCGATCTGGGACTCTGGGTCCCTGAGGCAGGCGCTTGGGGGCCAGACGGCCTTGTGGGGGGCGCCCGACGGCCTTGGAGATCACGGCCTGGCCAGTCTTCCCCGCCTGGGGCTGCGGAAGGGGGGCTGTCAGAGGAGCTCGACGGTTAGGCCACCGTGAGTCCCGAATTCCTAGACATCACAGACGGCAGAACCACAGCAGACGAGATTAGACAGTGATGGTGGAAAGACTGAAGCCCTCCCCCCCCCCCGCCCGCGGAGACAGGCGCATACTGCGAGCGGGAACACTTCACTGCCCTTCTTCAAATCTTTTACCTCGGAGCTTTGCCCTGTGACAACGCCCGCCCGCTCCGCGAGACGGTTCAGAGAAGGGAACTTTCCCAGGGACTCTTTACTCCTGTTACGTCTGCTCTGGAAGGAAGTCCGACAAATAATAGCAGCAGCTGAAACACCTGCGATCTCTCAATACCATTTTAAAAAAAGGGGGGGGGACGGTGACTGGAGTCATTTCTCCTTCCGCTTCCAGAGGGAGCTCAAACCTGAAGCCTCAAGGTTATCCCTAAGTGTGAAACAGGATGCTCGCCAAACCTGAGATGCTCGCACCTGGGGTGGGGGTGGGGGTTCCCCTTTGCCAACCGAAGAGACGACCCGATGGTTCTCCTCGTGTGTTTGTGTGTGAACCAAAAGTGGGGGCTTGTGCAATGTAACACCCTCCCCTGACCCTCTGGAGACTAGAACTGAGCGAAGGGAGATGAGGAGAAGGGGAAGGGAAGGTGCCCTGGAAAGAGTGGCTGGCAGTGGGGGTGGTTGCGCAAAGGCGGCGGGACCCAGGTGCGCGCGGGTGAATCCCAGCACCGCCGGCCACTGGGCTTTGGGCAGACCACGCAGAATCTGGCCACGTGCTGGGGCTGCTGTACTCTGACTCTACCTTTCGGCGATCTACTGACAGACAGACAGAGAGACAGACACACACACACACACCGCGACGCATGCATCTCTCTCCTGAGGTCCCTCCGAGGTTGTCCAGGCCTGAGAACCCCGCGGGTGTCCGTCTGGCACCGCCACTTGGCCATTCCATTCCGCTCTCTCTGGATGAAGGGGGTAGCTGCAGCCGGGGAGGGAGGGCAGACGAAGGCGCCCGTCTCTGTGGGCACCCAGCCCCGCGCAGGGTAAGGACTGGTGGAGGGGCCGCGCCCGGGGAGGGGCGGCGTCCTCCATGGCCCAGGCCTCTCCTCCTCGCCACTAGGTCGGGTCACCTGTCATCCCAAGCTTGCCGGGTGCTCGCCACGCTCCGCTCTCCGCGGCCACGCGACATCACCCTGCCAGCCGAAGCTGCGCGCCCTGGCGGTTCCCGGGCGCCCCAGCCCAGACAGCCAGGGCTCACCCCTCACCGCGAGCCTCTAGATACAAACAGCAGTGGCGTCGCTCTTCCTGCCTCCAGATCCGGATCTTATCCTCCCAGCCGGCAATGACTTGCCGGTGTCTGGGGGGTGGTGGTTGTTTCTTTTAAAAGTATATTAAAGGATCATTGGCATCTCCCCGTCAAGTCATTACGCCTTCATCCCCCGTCAATTAACCACACCTCAGAGGGCTGCTATTAAGAGCTAAATTGAGCTGCAAGAGTAGGTATCCCGTTTCGGGCAGATGTTGTCATCTCCAGCGGAGATAAGCGGCGAGCGGGCGGGACCCGCAGCTTCCGCAGCCGCCGGAGCTCCGCTGGACCAGGCTAAGGACTCTGGTTTGCGGGGGCTGGAAGGGAGGTCCCTGCCCGACATTGCGCTGGCGCTCCCGGGGCCGCGGGAGGCGGGGGCCCTCGGACCTCAACCGCTGAGCCGTCAAGGGGAAGTGTCTCCCGAGTTACGCCAGGGAAAACGCCAAGAGCGAACCGTGCGTCTTTACGCAGAAAAGTAGCGTGCAGAGTGTGAGCGAAGCCCCAGCTCCGCGGCCGGAGACCCGGAACCGGGACAGCGGAGGTGTGGCAAGAGGACAAAGTAGTGACTTTGGCTGGCAGCGCTCCACCGGCACACCCCACTTCCTCTTCCCGCCACTCCAGCCTCCTTCCTCCCTGGTGGCAGGCCCCCAGGACCCCTTGTGGAGGAAGGCTTGGTGCTATGGAGATGCTAGATCTGGAGCTAGGGAATCCTGGACGGAAACGTGGCATTAAGGACAAAGGAGGTACACTGGAAGACCGCCCGTCGTGATGTGTCTTTCCACTCTTCCTCACCCCCAGTCACTCCTGGAGACTTGGAACACGGCTGTCCTGTCGCACGCGGCTGGGAGACGCTGGAGGGCGGAGGAAAGGGGGATGGGGAACAAGGGGACGTGGCCCTCGCTGCAGTTACAGGGCCTTCCTCCCGATAGTGGGCACAATAAATTTAGCCAAGGCTAGAGGAGATTAATTTCCCAGCATAATCCAATTAAAAGATTTCTAAAGTAATCTTTTGCGAAAATGAAAAAAAAAAACAGTGCGTGGCTAAAGAGGGGACTGCTTTTGATGACAGTGATTTATCGCCTCGGCACAGCGGGGGCTGGCCGCTCGCTCTCCTGCACGCGATTTGACCAGGGCTTCCCGTCGGTGCCTCCAATCCAAACCTTAGCCTTTCTGAAAGACAGCCATCCATCACGCCAACCTGGGCAGGAGAAACAAGTGCAAGGGACTGGGGTTGCTTACAAGCACCATAGACTTTTTAAAGTGCTATTAGATTTATGGTCTCTTTTTCGACGCCCATCCAGAGTAATTAGCACATATGTTCTAAATAGATGATAGTTTTGTGAGCAATAAAGCAATTACCCATCGTTGGAGCTGACAGTTCCTCCAACTAAACTCCAACCAGCAGCTAATTGGAAAAGTCATTTCAGCTCCATTGTCTGCAATTAGTCCTGCTAAACTACTACACCCCAACTAGCTGGTTTGAGGTTAATTTATTCAATGTTGTATTTGCACGGACGAACCATTGCTAGGAAGGGACTTGCCTTTTGCCCCCACCAGACTTCGCACTGGGACTAGAGGAGCAGGTGGGAGAGAGGCCAGTGTTTGGGGGTCAGGATGGTTCCCAGGGGAGGAAGCGCCTGGCCGGGCCTCAGCTTCAAGGTCAGTGTCCAGCGCACTAAGCGCTGCCGCCGACAGAGAAAGCCATTGTTTCTCCTGCTGGGCAGTAACTGAAAGAAACTGCTCAGTTCTCAGTTTGCGCTACCAAAAGCTGAGTGTTAAAAAAAAAAAAATCAGCATAGAGGAGGTGACTGGGTTCTAAGGGCACACCTTCCCTGCTGCACACCCAGCGTGACCCTGGGCCACCTAACTGTCCCTGAAGGGTAAAAGTAGACTCAGACTCCGAAACAGCAAAACCCCGAGCCCTCTTCCAAGTCGGGGGAGACGGGTCTTTCAGGTCTTTCAATTCTCGGAGTGGCTGGTGAAAGAAAAGACTAGAAAGGCCAGGCAGACTAGAAAGCCCTGCTTCTGCCTTCAGCCTCTCTGAGTGCAAAGTCCCCTTGAAACTGGTGGGTTGACATGAATTCCTTTCTTCGCTTTTTCTTTTTCTTTTCCTTTCTTTCTTTCCTTACCTTTTTTCTTCTTTCCCTTCTAAAGTTAAGCCAAACAGGTCCCAAGATTGTGCACAGTGAGTGGAAAAAATGTGTTAAACGTCGGTTTGACGCCCCACCGGAGCTTCCAAATATCCAGCGGCTGGGATTCTTCTACTTAATTTAATCTTTATTGGACAGGGCAGCTCCTACACTCCTATTCACCAGGAAACCCCGGGAAACAGATCCATTGGGGTTCAGAACTGAGGGCGGGAAGAGGAATTAAAGAGGGATTAATCCTCTCCCACCCAACCTCGAACTTTGGAACTGTGATCTCCACTAGGCTGGGGTTAGGGGAGGGGGCCCAAGGTCCCAGCCCTGACAGCCAAGGGCCTCTGCAGTCTGGAGCAGGGGGTGGGGAGACTGCCAGGCTAGATGGGAACTTGTAGCCCTGGTAACCGAGTATTCCCTTAAAGGAATTTACATTCTGGGAGCTATGCGAATTTTACTTAGAAGAATATGAGATTGGGGGTTGGGGGCCAGAACGGTTTCTTAGGAAGTAAAGCCCAGTGCCTTCAGCCCTAGAAATCAAATGTCCTTTTCTTGATAGCCATTCATACCTAACAACCTGAGACTGTTTCTCCTTTATGAAGGACATGTAACAATGGCTAAGAAGACAATTCAAATAGTACTGTAGTCAACATGTGAGACTTACTATAACAATTCTCATTTCAAAACAAATTATAATCAGTTACTCAGCTTCAAAGATTTGAAAACATCTATAGCAAAAATTAAAAAAAGCAAACTTTTAAACTGCCTAATGTCAGGCAGGCTCTTGTTTTCCAGTTATTTTTGTTTTAGCCAATTTAATTCCAATAAAAAAAAAATTACTGGGGAGAAATTGAAAGTAATGGTCTCATCTTACCCCATCATTTCCCACCTGTCATACACCTTCTACCCTCTAAAGAGAAATTCTCCTGTCAGTATGGCTTCCAGTTGAAAGTGGAAAGGAAATAAGATGTCTTCACTAAAAGACTGCTCATCGTGTTCTCAATTACTTGCTTTTTTTTTCAGGACTTAAATATGACATCCTAGAGAGTGGGGGGGGGAGCTAAAAAAAGAATCAGCTGACACTATCACCTGGACTTGGTAGAG